TTCTTTGTTCACTTCCATTTTCTAAGGTTTCAGCTATTACCCTGGCACTTACTGAGCTTCCCATTGTTACAATTGCTTGTTTCTTCGGTCATCCTCGCCCTCTAGCCATGGCTACCACCATCGGCGTATATTAGCTTAACGTTCGTCGAGAGCCCTAGGCTAGAGAGAGAATGACACACATTATACTCGTATTTTTATCGATGCTATTAGATTGCAAGTTTTAATTTTCAGAGGCAGTTATTTGTTAGTTTAATGCCTCTTACAGAAATGCAGGGTAAGACTGTGTATAATAGACCCTTGTGGTCCGGCCTTTCCCCGGACCTCCGCATAGTGAGTGCTTAGTGTACCGAGTTGCCTTTTTATTTATATTGAACTTATTAGGTTAGTAGTAATATTTAATTTATCTTAGCAATGCTCTTTTTATTTAGCATATCAAAAAATTATTTTTGCAATGTCCAATTGACTTCCTTTGCTTACATTAAATTGCCTCAACTTCACCAGCTAATAAACTTTTTTAGCTGATTAAACGCGGATCAACTTTTGCTCACAATGACTTTTTATACGCTGCCGTTTTGCTCATAGTAAATGAAACTTTAAAAAAGAAAAGGTTTAAATGATAACGGGTCAGGTTTCAGAGCGGGTCAAGAAAATATTTTTAACGAAAAAGGTCCAAATATGCCCTGAACTATTGAAAATAGAGCAATTATGCCCTCCGTTTGCATTTGGGTACAAAATTGCCCTTGCCGTTAATAAAGTGGTTCACTTTTGCCTCTCCCCACTAACAAACTCCACATCAAGGACAATTTTATACTCAAATACAAACGGATGGCATAATTGCTCTATTTTTAATAGTTCAAGGGCATATTTGACCCCTTTTCGTATAAAATAATACTTTTTTGCTGAGTTGAAAATCCATGTTGGAGAAAAAATCTTCTCTGTAAAAAGAAAAAGGAAAGGAATGTCGTTCCATATCTTTTACGTAGTAATTACTATGATTACGAGAAATCTCACGGGAAAATCCCTCCGGCCAGCTTCACTTATTATTTTCTTACTGGATCAAATTCGTGTGATTTGATTTTATATTCTTTGAACTCTTAAGTCCTAACATGTAAGATAACCAAACAATACCCCATTAGAGGGACTCGAATCCGGATCTGCTCAAAGGATACAATGCCATTGTTCATCATTGATGTATCCGTAATACAATAACCTTTTACATTGTAATATCAATTCTTAATGCAAAATCTTATTATTAGAATACCAAGTAATTAATGGTGATTTTTTTTTCCGTTTCGTCTTCCTATTTTAATTTGCAACCGCATATCAATACATCCATAAGTTACTATCACTTATTCCACTTTTACATTTCTTTGATGTGGGTATTTGGGTACAAAATTGTGCCCTTCTATTGTACCCAAATACAAACGGATGGCATAATTGCTCTATTTTCAATAATTTAGGGGTATATTTGGACCTTTTTAACTCAGCAAAAAAATATTATTTTATACGAAAAATGGTTAAATATGCCCCTGAACTATTGAAAATAGAGCAATTATGCCATCTGTTTGTATTTGGGTACAAAATTGTCCTTGATGTGAAGTCTGTTAGTGGGGAGGGGCAAAAGTGAACCATTTTATTAACGGCAAGGGCAATTATGTACCCAAATACAAACGGAGGGCATAATTGCTATATTTTCAATAGTTCAGGGGCATATTTGACCATTTTTCGTTTTTTTAATGGGTGCCTTATTATTTTTAAAATATTTGGCTTTAAAAATATTAAAAAGTATAGTGAGTGACCTTGTGGATAAAATAGCAAAACATAAGTTACTTTTGTAATATAAAAGAAAGAACAGTGACATTCATAGATAATTACCCTTAGTTAAATAATCTGCTCCAATTTGCTTTGCTGCGCTATATTGGATTCCTGCATGGCAGATGTGATCATGTGAATAGGTGTTAATATAAGTTTTAGGTTGCATGTGAGGAATGACAATGCTGTGCATGGACATGAATATGAAAATAAAAATAAAAAACAACAAGGCGGAAAAATATTAGTAAAGGACTATAGAAAACTCTAATTTTTGAATCTATTGTGTCGGGATATACGAATACATTGTCAAAACTACGCCTATAGACGCTTATCTGGCTCCTTAAGTTTTCTTATCCAAGTCGGACTTTTCATTTAGTGAAGAAGACGTGTCACCTTCTTCTTTAAATGTTACACGGATTAATGCAAGAAGCAGAAAATTTTCCATAATTTGCCAAATACAAAGCATAAATTGTGAAAAAGGTTAATTTTTTTTAAATTTTCCACGAGGAAGGGTGCCACTTTAGGACGTATAGTATTTGACCAAGTTTTATTTAAAAAGTGTTTTTCATTTGATAAGAAGTGATTTGTATTTGGTTAATTAATTTGAAAAATAATTTTGCTTATCAATTAGTGTTTGATCAAGCTTTTAGTGTTTCAAAAAGTAATTTATTCGGCTTCTCAAAAATAATTTCTAGTTCTACTCAAAAATATTTTTTTTCTTTCTAAAAGTTTGACCAAACACAAATTGATTCTCACCAAAAATATTTTTGAAAAAAATATTTTAAAAAAATAGTTATTAAAATAAGCTAATTTTAGAAGTTTGACCAAATAAATTATTAGTCCAACGGCCTATTAGTTGGCTGGAAGTAATAAAGAAAAGGTAGGCACGAAGGAATAAATGGCATAACATTGGTACAAGTAAACGGGAAAGGGCCAAATATACCCATATATTTTTGAAAATGGTCTAAGAATACCCTTCGTTATACTATTGAGTTATCTATACCCCTGCAGTCATACTTTGGGTTCAAATATACCCCTCATTTAAACGGATTGACACGTGTCATCGTCCTGTTGACCAATTCTAAATATCTCATAATTAATTAAAAAGATTCATTACCCATACCCGAAAAATAATTTTCTAAAACAATTGTTTATGTAAAATCTGGAAAAAACTGGGTTTTTTACCAAAAATTGAAAAAAAAATGAAATATTTTTTTTTTTCAGTTTTTACAAAAAAACTGCTTTAAAAAAACTGAAAAATATTTTTTAAAATAATATTTTTGTAAAAACTGGAAAAAAAACTGAAAAATAATTTTCTAAAGCAATGTTTTTGTAAAAATCGAAAAAAACTGAATGTTTATTTTACTAAAAACTGAAAAAATCAAAAATATTTCTTTCCAGTTTTTAGAAAAATATTGCTTTAAAAAAAACTGAAAAATAATTTCTAAAGCAATTTTTTTTGTAAAAACTAAAAAAAAAACTGAAAAGTAATTTTCTAAAGCAATGTTTTTGTAAAAATCGAAAAAAACTGAATGTTTATTTTACTAAAAACTGAAAAAATCAAAAATATTTCTTTCCAGTTTTTAGAAAAATATTGCTTTAAAAAAAACTGAAAAATAATTTCTAAAGCAATTTTTTTTGTAAAAACTAAAAAAAAAACTGAAAAGTAATTTTCTAAAGCAATGTTTTTGTAAAACTGAAAAAACAAATATTTTTTTTTCCAGTTTTTAGATAAAAATATTTTAGTTTTTTCCATTTTTAATTGCTTTAGAAAACTACTTTTCAGTTTTTTTTTCACTTTTTGCAAAAACATTGTTTTAGAAAAAAAAAATTTCAGTTTTTTTAAATCACTTTTTTGTAAAAACTGAAAAAAAAAATATTTTCGTTTTTTTCAGTTTTTAGTAAAAATTTTTTTTAGTTTTTTTCAGTTTTTATAAAAATAAAAATTGCTTTAGAAAATTACTTTTCGGGTATGTGTAATGAGTCTTTTTAATTGATTAAGAGATATTTAGAATTGGCCAACAAGACGATAACATGTGTCCCTCCGTTTGAATAAGAAGTATATTTGAACCCAAAGTATGACTGTAAGGGTATCGACAATCCAATAGTATGATAATGAGTATTCTTAGTACATAGGTATATTTAGACCGTAAATGAATATTCATCTAAGTTAAGATAATGACTAATGCTAATTCTTACTTTTTTGTTGCCTTTTATATTCAAATCTCACTGGCCTTCGCTTAAACAGATTGCTCGAGTCTCGAGGATAGTGGCTGAGCCACTGACCGAACCTTTCAGAATCTGTGTACAATTTTGGCTTATTGTCTACTCCTATTACATTTCGAATCCTAAGCTCTATTTGTGCTAGCTACTTAAAACTATTTGGACAAAAGAGGTTGCGTGAACACACTTCACCCTCAACAAAGAGGTTGTGAGTTCGAGTCACCCCAAGAGTAAGGTGGATAGTTCTTAGAGGGAGGAAGTCGAGGGTCTATCGGAAACAATCTCTCAACTCCAGGATAAGAGTAAGGTCTGCGTATACACTACACTCCTCAGACCCCACTAGTGAAATTATACTGGGTTGTTGTTGTTGTACTTAAAACTATTTGAATCATTTACTAGAGTGGCGTTTTCTTAAAATAATGGAACAGGATTCCATTGAAGTTTACACCTAGTTACCTCAAGTTCAATAAAAGCAAATGCCAGAAAATTAGAGAATATCAAAAAATATAGTGAGATGGATAAAACAAAAAAATCATCTTTAACCAAGGATATGAGGTTCTAAACTTGAAAATGAAAAAAAAAAACTTTATAGTAGTCTAGAGAACGATTTTCTTTTTAGCGAGACTTTTTCTCTTTGACGAGGGTTATACGATGTGAATCTGAATTAGTCAAAGTCTTATGTTCGAATACCGAACATAGAATGATAAATCAAAAAATGCCACATAAATTAACCTCATGTTATAGATATTTGTCAAAGTAGGTTATGTCCATTGAATTTTGCCAATTAGAAGGGTTCTTAGTAATTATATTGTCAAATCTCTGTAGGAAAATCTAATAATACCCTTTCTAATTCAGTGGCTCAAGTTTAGTTGTGGGTTTTCCTTATTTTTTACTACTTTGGTCGTCAATAAAACCGAAACTAAATTTACTAGCCCGGCATATTGGTCCATGAAATATGAAATATATTGATACATTTTATTTTTACTTAATAAAAAGTGAAGAAACCATGTAAATCCAAATATGACAAACCCATACAAGAACGTTGAAAAGTAACAAAGGAACGTTAGAAACATGAGATTTTCTTGAGGGAATGTGCGGTAAAGAGATGAAGCACCCAAAGTATTACACCATGCTATGTCCAATTTAACTTGGACAACACAAAACCATATGCATCAATGACTCTAATCTGGCACTCAAGACAGTTAGTCGAGCCCTCTGTCCATTTTCCTGCAAAACATTTAAAAGAGGACATAAAATGTTAGTATTCTTTAAATAATTAATGACAGGCTAAGCATGTTTCAAGTTCAACACTTTTAAGTATTTATATGCTTGTTGAAAGTCTATTTTATGTCCATGTTGAGTCGAATCACAAATGCTTTTTACAGTCGCAACATACATGTAATGTTTTGCCTATGTGAAATACCAGTTTACAGTGTAGCTTGCAACTTCATGCTAAGTGCCATAAAAATTTTGTTCAGGAATATTTGAAGCTAAAAATTGGAATATAGCAAGAATATCATCAGGTAGAAACTAATAACTTACAATAGAAAGAACAATGATAGTATGACAGAATCACCATCCCCGGCCCTCAACTGCATAAACTTAATCTTGAATAACATTCTCCTCTTCTCAAACAAAACCATCAAACTGGGTTGAACAGCCTCAAGGAAAGCTAAAAGTTCTCATTGTGCTTGTTCCTTCTCCATCCCAACAAAGTTAGGCTTTTTTGCTATATGCTAATAAATAAGTCAAACATAGACATTAAACCTTAGATTATATAATCTAAATTAAATTTATGTATATCTTCTCAACAGGATTTTAAGCCTAGGAACGGAGTTAGGTTAATGAGCATCATAACCCTATCTTCAAGACAAACTTTTAATCCGAAAAGAATATCTCCAAGTCAAACATGGCAATATTCAGTTTCCAAAAATCAAAACTCGTAGTGGGACATCAGCCACGAATACCCTTGAAACCACAAAAAGCACTTACTCTTCCCAAAAGAATCTGAATGCAGCATTTCGTATTGATAGAATTTTAAATCAGTCTAATTCTACTTTGGGTTAATTATTCTTTCCTAACTGTTCTTTTTCTCTTTTTCATCAAGAATACCTACAATATGAAGTAATGCATCCAAATCACATGCGAAACTGGCTCACAGGTACATAAGCTATTAAAAGTGAAAATTCATCTAAAATGAAAAAATATTTTGGATTATTCGTCTAAAGGAACACTAATCAAGTCACAATGGTCAGATTTTTTGGAAAAACCAAAATATATTCTTTTTTATTGTTAATTTATCGGATGTCCTTGAAGGAACATTTTGATTATTACTAACCAATATCTATTCTAAAAGAACTTGATCCTCTCTTTTAGTCACACCAAGCTTATCAAAAATCTAGCTACAGAATTGCAAGATTCACTTAGCCATTCATCATGAAGTGTTAGTACTATAAGTCCATCTGTCGAATATCAACACCTAGCCATTTCACATGATTATACAATTACTTCAAACTATCAATGAGGAAGGATTGTTGAATTAAAAGTTAATTCACTTTTCACCCTTATTATAGTCTATAGCAATTGATCAAAGCACATTTGCATCAGACACTTGTATCAGAGGAGGAGAACCACAATAATGCTTACCATATATCCGATAATATACCAGAGAAAGATCATAGGGATATAAAAACATATTTCAATAAAATGTTTACCTTTTGAGCAGATTCATTAAGCAGGTTGCCCACAGGTTCTTCCGAAGCAGTTATAAGTGGCTATATGTACCAATGAGGACGCTCATAAAACAAATAAATAGAAAAAGAAATAAATGAAAGAAAATTATGATTTACTAAGGAACAAAAGGGTCTCATAATGCAATTCAATTTCTTGGATTCATCCAATTCACTTCATCAAGCATTCCAGCAAAACTTATCGAATATAAATGGGCTGCCTTAGGTCTATTGGAGCAATTAAGTGAAATAAAAGGAGATTCAACAACAAAATCTGACCTAGCAGACATTAAATAGACACAAATTAGAAACATGAAAAGAGAGATAATTTTAGCTTCATTACATTCTCTTAGCGAAGTGCCATTTTCCTTCTCTTTTCTTTGGGCCAGATTTTTAATGTGCTAGTGAATTATTTTATCATATAAGTAGTCCGGTAATAGAAGCTCCAACTACAATTGATTGTTAGTACCTATGGCAATATTGAAAACGTCAATGATAAACTCCAGGTAATAGACTGGATGAATTAAGTCATTGATCATGTGAAGATGAAAAAAATAATCAAACCTTTTATTCCTCTTTTGTTCTATAATAAGTAAAATATGAATAACTTGCCACAATGTCGTTTTCCTATTTGCTGAGTGTTGGGTCCAAAGGTACATCTGTAAGCAACATGAACATCAAATATGAAGCTTTAAAGCTGTAAATTATAGTCCAAATCAATGTGAACTGAGATGTCTATATAGTTACTAACATAAGGAAAGATTTAAGAAATATTAGACGCAAAAATGATAAGTTTATTTTCTTCCCTTTTATTAGCATGAACCTAATTTACAACAATTTAGCAGTGAAATCATAATTAGCTTAAAACAAGCGGCCAGAGCTTAGTTCAGTTATCATCAAAGCAGAAGTGCTTCAGTTGGCAAGTCTTCGAACTATAATTTCAGACATATGCTTACATGTTTATCACACAAATGCGCAGATAAAATAATCAAAAAGAAGTTTCTTTAAATTGAAACTTGTTACACATTCTCTCTCCCGGTGAACATAAAATTTCAGGAATTTACTAATGGCATCAAGTGATGTACTCTTTATCTTACTCACCTCGGCTTCCATCAACCTTATTGCCCCTACTACAAGCCCATCTACATCTTTTTTTACCAGTTGCACTTAAAATTAGACCAAACTGAGTAGCTAAAGTAAGTCATAATTGACCAACTTCAATATAGATCGTAAGTAATAATTGACATGACATAAATGCATTACTGACCTTTGGGATTTTGTTCACAGAGTATTTCTCTATTCTCGTCGAATACTTCTTAATCTCTACTGAGAGCTATGAAATTGACACAAAAATAATGAATGAGTACATGCATGTTCAAAATATTTTTGTTTTTATTTTAAAAAAGAGCAAACGCAATAAATTCTGCAGTAGAGTTGGTAATTTCAGTTGTTTTTCAATCGGGCCCCGAAGGATGAAAGAGAAGGGAAAAAGTAATACCCAATTACAGTCCCCCCCGGATCTTCAAAACCTCTCTAAGAACGTCCTTTTAGGAAATCTGGAGAAAATCAAGAAATTTGACACATAATATTCAAAGCAGAAAATGCATGAGCAAACTCAATTATGAATAAACTTTAATGCGCAAATAATTCTAGAATAGCCATCAGAGATTCCAAAGTTAGCAGTGACTCAACCAATAAATATCGTCTATGGAATTGGAGGAGAAGACGGAAAATCCTTAAAGAATGAACACTTATCTGTTAGTCGGAAATACAACATCGCCAGAGCAAAACTCGAGCCAAAATTGAAAAATTCTAAAACAAAACCAGAATAGTAAGAGAGAGATACATGAGACAGATAGCAAGAGAGATGAAGATGCAATTGACATAGAAAAATCGAAGAAGGAGAACTAACAATTGAAGTAGGAACGGAAGCAAATGACCCGAAAAGATAAGTACGTGTCATTCCAAAAAGAAGAACAATTCAATACGTGTCAGCAAGAAAAGTGGGCAAAAGCTATACCAATGAGATTGGGCCAAATTTATAGTACAATACAAATTGTTTTTTGTACAATTGTTCAGCCGAGTTCGTCCTCCTTGGACATTTACATATAGTAGTAACAATGATACCACCGTATACGGGTAAAATCGGGAATAAAGCGTACCCTGATTTTTCGGTGAAGAAAACGGAAGAAGGGCATGGATGCTTGAGACTGAAATCGAGGCCGGGAACCTTTCGTATCGAAACCCATGAAAGAAGAATGATGTGTTCATCACCGAGCATGATAAAGCAACGCTCTCCGTCCCCAGAACGAGTTCTAAAACCTCAGGAAACACGATAAACGGTTACGCACGACGGATAAAAGGGCCGTGATATTCGTACCTGACTGAATATCATGCGCGGATTTCGCTCGATGTCGGTTACGGATCAGTAATTAACGATAAATGAAGATTTTAACATTTTTTAGACTTGTACTAGAGATGAAACTCTCTTACTATATAAAGGGTAGTTTTTTCTTTTGAGAGACACATTGTAACACGCAAATCAAGGCAATACAAATTCATTTTCTGCTTTCTAGCTATTGCAAAAATTCTTACTTAACTATTTGATCTTTATTCACAATTGGGTTCGAACCAAGGGTCCGACTGAGGGCAAAACTGCTGTTCAACCTAGGTTCGGGCTAAAATATAACATTACGATTGGTTTGATCATTCAATTTGTCTTTGACTCATTTATCTAGCATTCCTAATTATTTGTGTTGAATCAATCACCATATCCTTAAAACCGCATACAAATTAATTGTTACCCGATTTAAGGGTAAACAGTTTGACGCCCACCGTGGGGCTAAGGATAATAGTGGTGATTTGTTCTTTAAAGATTTAATTTCAGGTTAGCCCAAAAATATCGAACTCTCAGTCTGCTCACTTGAACGTTGACGCTGAGTCTGGCCATCATGGCGAAAATATTAATTTGGTGCCTAGCAACGAGGTGCCTCCTGCTGATCCCAACGTTGTCTTAGTGGCCGATCCCGTCGATGCTAACTCGCAGGTGGCCATTGACGTTAATTTGCCAACCGATCCCGAAAATAGTGTTCGCGGGGGACCCCGACCAATAGCTCGAGAAGCGCCAGAAGGCGAAGGTGATGGGGTAAGCCTACGACTAATCTTCAAAATATTGCGGGCTCAACAGGCGGTAATAGTGCAGCTACAGAATCAAGGCCACGCCCCCAATAGGGTCGAGCCCGAACAATCCCGGGAAAGCACCCAAAGAAACGAATAAATCATCGAGAGATCGGGTGAAACTGAGCCCGGGGTCAACCCCGAGATAATGAAAATGCTTGAAGCATTAACGAAAGGGGTGGAGTCAGGTGAGAAGAAAATTGAGGCTAATGACAAAAAGGTGAAAACATACAATTTCAGGGTTGATCAAATCCCGGGAACAATACCCCCGATATTGAAAGGACCGGATTCTAAGAAATTTATCTAGAAGCCTTTTCCTCCGAGTGCTGCACCAAGTCGATCCCGAAGATATTTCGTATGCCTGATATCCCTAAGTATAACGGAACCACACATCCAAATGATCATGTGACCTTCTATACGTGCTCAATCAAGGGGAACGACTTGGAAGACGATGAAATCGAGTCGGTGTTACTAAAGAAGTTTAGGGAGACTTTTTCCAAATGAGCAATGATATGGTATCACAACTTACCCCCGAATTCCATTGATTCTTTTGTTATGCTAGCAGATGCTTTCGTAAAGGCCCATGTCGGGGCCATGAAAGTCAAGACCATAAAGTCAGACATTTTCAAGGTTAAATAAAGAGACAATGAGATGCTTAGGGAGTTCGTGTCAAGTTTCTAGATAGAACATATGAATATGCCTCCGGTTGCAGATGATTGGGCCATCCAGGCATTCACTCAAGAGCTTAACCCCCGAAGTTCCTTGGCCTCTCAACAGCTAAAACAAAATTTGGTAGAGTACCTGGCGGTGACCTGGGCCGATGTCCACAACAGGTACCAGTCAAAGATCAGGGTTGAGGATGACCAACTCGGAGCTCCTTCTGGGTCTGTGCACCACATCAGGGCCGATGACAGATCTAAGAGAGCCGTTGATCATGAGTTAAGACCGGTCCGATATCGATAACAACCATACAATGGGGACCGGAGGGGAAATGGGTCCGGGTATCACCCCATAAGGAACGAGAAGAGAAGCGATCGAGGACCCAGTAGCTGAGGTTTGATAAGTAAAAATGGTTTTGACAAGCCGCTCGGGGGTAGGAAAGCATCAAGGTTATCAGAGTATAACTTCAACGTTGATGCTCCCAACATCGTGTCAGCCATCGAGCGCATCAAAGAGACCAAGTAGCCCCGACTATTTTAGTCCGACCCTACCCAAAGAGATCCTAACTTGATGTGTAAGTATCACGACACTCATGGTCACAGGACTGAGGATTGTCGATAATTGAGAGAAGAAGTTGCCCGGTTATTCAAAAACAGGCACCTCCGAGAATTTTTGAGTGATCAAGCCAAAAACCACTTCAGGAACAGGGATGCCAACAAACAGGTCGAACAAGAGGAGCCTCAGCACGTCATCAACATGATCATCGGAGGGGTTGATGAACCCCAAAGGCCAATGATAAAGGACACTAAAGTATCTATCACAAGGGAAAACGAACCCGAGATTATATCCTCGAGGGAACCATTTTGTTCAACGACGAGGATGACGAGGGCATCATACAATCTCATAATGATGCACTGGTAATATCCGTGCTTCTCACTAAATATCGAGTTAAAGGTGTGCTGATTGATCCAGGTAGCTCGCCAACATCATCAGATCAAGGGTCATAGAGCAGTTGGGGTTACATGACCAAATAGTGCCGGCTCCGGGTGTTGAACGTATTTAACATGGCATGGGAAACCACTAAAGGGGAGATAACCCTGCCGGTGAACACCGCCGGGACGATCCAAGAGACAAAGTTCTACGTGATCGAAGGGGATATGAGGTATAACGCTCTATTCGGAAGGCCGTAGGTTCACAAGTTGAGGGTGGTACCTTTGACCTTGCACCAAGTGTTGAAATTACCTACACCGAGAGGAGTTAAGACGGTCTACGAAGAGCAGCCGATCGCAAAGAAGATGCTCGCATTTGATAAGGTAATCCAGGTGCCCGCGGTTTCGACATCAAAGAACACAGAGCTGAACAGAAAGGAAAAAACTAAATAGCAATCACTGATGTCGGTCTCGGCCGAATCATAGGAACGAGAAGGAAATGAGAAGGATGATTACGGAGTTCCGAGATCGTTCATAGCTCCTGATAACACTGACGCCACCAAATCGACAGCTGAAGAGTTAGAGCAAGTCATATTAATCGAACATCAACCGGATCGAAAGGCATACCTAAGCACGAGGTTAACCCCTGAGCTCAGGAAAAAACTCATTGATTTTCTTAAAGTTAACATAAATTGTTTCACTTGGTCCTATCTTGATATGACAGGGATCTCACCGAAGATAACCACCCATAAGCTGAGTTTGGACACAAAGTTCCATCTGGTTAAGCAGAAGAGGAGGCCATAGTCCGAGGTCAAGCACATATTCATCAAGGACGAGGTATCCAAACTCCTTAAAATAGGGTCCATCTGGGAAGTTAAATACCCGGACTGGTTAGCTAACATAGTGGTAGTGCCTAATAAAGGGAATAAGCTAAGAATGTGTGTAGATTACAAAGATCTAAACAAGGCATGCCCTAAGGATTCTTTCCCTATGCATAACATCGATCGGATGATCGATACAACGGTTGGGCATGGGATACTAAGCTTTCTCAATGCTTATTCTGGGTATAACCAAATTCGTATGGACCCGGGCGATTAGGAAAAGACTTCTTTCATCACTAAATTTAGCACCTACTACTATAATGTAATTCTGTTTGGGTTAAAGAACGTTGGTTCCACCTATCAATGCCTAGTAAATCGGATGTTCGAAGAACAAATAGGAAAATCAATGGAAGTTTATATTGACGATATGTTAGTCAAATTCCTGCGAGCAGAGGACCATTTCAAACATTTTTAGGAGACCTTCGACATATTGAATAAATACAATATGCAGCTGAATTCAGAGAAGTGCGCATTCGGGTCGGATCGAGAAAATTACTCGGGTTCATGGTATCCAATCGAGGGATCGAGATCAACCCTGACAAAATCAAATCCATAGAGGACATCACAATGGTGGACAACGTCAAGTCCGTTCAAAGTCTGACCAGGCGTATAGCTTCCCTAGGCTGGTTCAACTCGAGGTCCTCAGACAAAGCCATCAATTCTTCTCACAGTTAAAGAAGAAGAATAACTTTTCCTGGACCCCAGAATGCCAACAAGCTTTGGAAGAACTCAAACGGTACTTATCAAGTTCGCCCCTATTTCACACTCCGAAGGTAAACGAACAAATGTACCTCTACTTGGCGGTTTCCGAGGTGGCGGTAAGTGGAGTCTTAGTTCTAGAGGAAGAAGGTACACAATTCCCTATTTACTATGTCAGTATAACTCTAGGCGACGTCAAATCAAGGTATCCTCACCTGGAAAAGTTGGCGCTCACTTTGCTAAGCGTCTCCAGGAAGCTAAAGCCATACTTTCAATGCTACCCCATATGTGTCGTTACCTCTTACCCACTAAGGAATATCATGCACAAGCCCAAGATCTCGGACCGGTTGGCCAAATGGGCAGTGGAAATTAAAGGGTATGATATCAAGTATCGACTCTGAACTACCGTAAAATCTCAGATTTTTACAGATTACGTCGGCCTTAATACCCGAAGTCGAAAGGGAATTACTGTTAAACTCGGGGATCACTTTAGGAATTTGAGCCCTTTTCACGGACGGTGCCTCGAAGGCAAAAGGGTCCGGGCTCGGTATCGTATTGAA